TCTACGGTGTCCACAGGTCGATCGGGCATGGCAAAATGATTTAGGCCAAATCGCTGCACGACCTCGGCCCAACGATTGTAGTAATTATCCGTGTGTTGGTCATTCTCATTGCAGTCGGCAAAATATGTGGTTTGGGCCATCATCTCTCGTTCAAGTTCCAAGTGAAAAGCTTCTCGATGAGCTCCGTTCTGGAGAGCATCGGCCAATTTGTTGTGGCCCCATCGGGGTCGCAGAGTTTTTGGCATCGTCACGGGAGACTCGCACTGCATAGCTAAGATAACGGGTACATGGTCTCGTGGGGCGCTCCGAGGGATTAGCTGTAGGACGCGGCCAGCTCTCCAAGCAACTCGACAGTGTTTTACTCCAGGTCCTAGTCCCTTTGGGATTGCGAAGATGTCCAATGTCGATTTGTCTCCCTGAGGTCCATAATACGTGGGTCCCGACTGTAGTGTATAGCTTCCAGGGGCCATGAGGTCGAGGTCTAATAACATGTTTGAGAAAATATCTCCAGATGGGCCGTTTTTCTCTTAAGTGATGGGGTCCGATGTGGTTCTGGTCGGGGTCTACCAAGCTTCCGTCTTCCCAGAGTCCGAATCCTGAATTGATGTCAATGCCTATTGTCGGGGTACTTCGGGAACGACAACGTTCGACTCGACTACGTACATATCGCATTACAGTAGTAGCGGCCGTCACTTGGGCCTTCCGTTTTGTCCCGTCCGAGTAGGTGGGTGGTGGGTAAGCACATATGACAGTGATATCCAGGAGTCCAGATTAAATTCGTAGTTCCCCATATCGACCTGGTGCGTTTGTAGGGCCAGAGACGATTGAATAGATATGTTCGGCGCGAAATCGACGACCTAGAATAATACACACTCCCGCACTCGTATTGCTGTATGGTGCACGTATCCATCCATAATGTACTGCAGTGAATTTACCTCCTCCAAGATTATCCGTGTGGTATGTCCTTCCCTCCCATTCACGTATACACGTACCAGGCATCATCAATATGTCCACGTCGAGCTCCTGGGCTATTTCCAGTGTTCTGCCTGCCGTGCATAGAGACAACGGGTTATACAAAGCGGCTCGACTGAGACTACACATAATAATCATCCCACAGGCCCCTCGTACAGCTCGACTCATCCGTCAGTGACCGAACATGGCAGGCACTAGAGAGGGACGAACGCTGGGTGAGGGCCAAAGTTGGGGACGCCGCCGCTGCAGAAATCCTTTGGGAGGGGAAATGGCGGCTAGGAGGAGGAGGAGGAGGAGGAGGAGGAGGAGCAGGAGGATGACGAGGAGCTCTCTTCTGTGGCCACGCCTCTCGGGGCGGGGTGTGACGCGTCGCCGCCCCGAGGCTGGCGGATCGGCTGCTTCGGCGGCGCGCCCAGGGGGGGGGGGAGATGCAGAGGGGGCGGCCTTCACTGAGGGCTCCGAAGGCCTCTGGCCTTCCAAGAGGCTCCCTCGACCTTCTCCGGAGCCCCAGGGGGCTTCGCAGAAGGCCCGGGCCCCTCTCGCTGCCCGCCTCGGCGCGCCGTCGGCTGCCGCATGCAGGTGGCTTCCCCAGGCGCGTCCCGGCGCCCTGGAGCGCCCACGCATCGAGGAAGGCATCCAATCGCCCCGCTCCCTCCTCCCCCCCAACCCCCCTCTGAGGTGAACATGCCCAGGGAACAAGAGCTGACCAATTTTAGAGACAGGCCAACGAGCTCCCCCGGCGCGAGATGCCATGACTTCCAGGGGGGGCGCCGCGCTGTGCTGCTTCAGCGCGTCCTGGGGGCATGCCCGCGGCCACTCTCGGGACACCAGCCCCATGGTCGCCCGACCCGAAGCTCCGCAAACCTCCTCGATGCTATTTTCTTCCGCCCCACACCAGCCCAAGCAGTGACGCTGTCGGCCAAGCGGCTGGGACAGCGAACGGCACCGAAGACCTCCGCGCTCGCTCCTCATTATGTTGCATCCTCGGGAGACCTTGCCTGTCCCGTCGCGGCCCTATCCGCGTCGAATCCGTGTCGAATCCATGTCGGACTCGTCAGATCTGTGTCGAATCCGCGTCGAATCCGCGTCGAATCCACGCCAAATCCGCGTCGAGTCCGCATCGAGCCCGCGTCGGGCACAAGACAAGACACCAATTCGGGGGACAGGCGAGGTCCCCCGAAGATGCAGCATGTAGACCTCCGCGCTCGCTCCCCGGTCTCCCTCGAGGATCGAGGAGGAGGAGGAGGAGGAGGAGGAGGAGGAGGAGGAGGAGGTTGTGGGCGTCCGTACCCCTGCCGCCCTGGGGGGCTCCCCGGGAGGCCTGGTCGCCCCGGCTGGGCCGGGCCTCGAGGCTGTGGCCAGAGGGGCCAGAGCCGAGCACCTGTGCGGACTTGAAACTCCCAGGCGCGCAAACGCGGGGCTGGCGGAGGCTAGGCCTGAGCGAGCGCCACGTCGGCGAGCGACACCTTCGTACAGTACGCAGCCGCTTCGCGGGCCGGATGGCCCCCCACGCCACCGCGTTGGGAGGAGGGGGGACATCTTCTATGTAGCGAAAGTCAGCTTCTGGCGAGGACGCGCGCGGGGGAGCGGCCACGGGTCCAAAGCTGCCTCGTCACGAAACAAAAAATCGAGACGGCCAGCCTCTTCTGTCTGGCAAAACGAAGAGGGACGAAGACAAGACCAGGTACGCACAAATCGGGAATCTCTGAGATCCCGCGGATCTGGAGGATGACTCGGGCGCCGCGACCTTCTCACCTTCTCAGAGAGTTCCGCAACGCTCTGAGAGTGTTCCGGAACGCTCTGGAACGGATTTATCCTCGTCCTAGCCCCGTCCGATCTGGGACTCCCGAGAACCGTGTAGGGCCCGAGGATCATCAGAAAGACGGCACGGGACGAGAAGCAGGAGGAGCCCAAGATGGGGTCGAGAAGTCCGGGGGCACACGTCACGAGAAATGCAACGTCGTCAGTCTGAGTCATCAGTCTCCTCCATGGCTGCCCCGAAGCTGCCTCTGATTGCAACTCGGTCGCACCGCCGACTCACACGAACCGAACAGGACACCACTGAGATTGGCCCCGAAATCGCAGATCTGGACACGTCCCTGGGCACGCCGAAGCGCCAGCCACCTACGCGCCGCCCCGATGGGCTCCTCCTCAGATCCCTACTTCGGCGGCGAGCCAGGGGAGGAAGTGAGAAGGAGAAGGCCTTCTCAGAAGGCGGCTGGACTTCTCAGCAGCCCTCGAGCCCTCTGAGAAGTTGTTCTGTGTCGTCGGGGAAGGCTTAGAAAACTTCTCAGAAGGCCGGGGGAGTGTTGGAACCTTCTGAGAAGGCCTTCTCCTCCTCACTCCCCCCCTTCGCCCGCCGCGGGCTCCTGCCTCTCTTCCAAGGAGCTGGGCCTCGTGGTCGGCCCGGCCTGCTCGTGGCGCCCGTCGGCGCCCGTCGCCGCCGCCGCTGGCCGCGAGGTTCGGACCGCGCGAGGCTCGCGCTGTGCACCGCTTGGCGCTGCTTCGGTACGGCATCGCTCTACACGGCACTGCACTGCTGGGCAGCGCCTTGCCTTGCTTGGCGTGGCGCTGCATGGCTCTCCTTCCTATTGCCTCGCGCTGCGTCGCCCTGCTCCGCACTGCTTCGCATTGCGCTGCCTTGCGCTGCATTACCTCGCATTGCTTTGCGATCTCATTGATTTGCACTGCTTTGCCTCAATCGCACTGCTTTGCTCTGCTTTGCCTTGCATTGCTTTGCATTGGTTTGCATTGCTGTGCATTGCTTTGCATTGCTTTGTATTGCGATGCATGGCTTTGCAATCGCATTGCAATCGCATTGCAGTGCTCTGGATTGCTGTGCAGTGCGTTGCAGTGCATAGCATTGCTTTGCATTGCGTTACACTAGTCTGCATTGCGTTGCATTGCTTTGTGTCGCGTGGCCTTGTTTTACATTGATGTGCATCGCTTTGCATTGCTGTGCATTGATTTGCACTGGGTTGTATTGCGTTGCATTGGTATGCATTGCTTTCCGTTGCTGCTCATTTCTTTGCATTGCCTCGCATTGCTCTGCACTCGCTATACAATCGCAGTGGCTTGCCAGTAGTACGTTGCATCGCGTTGCGTTGCTTTGCGCTGCTTTGCCATAGCTCCCCATTGTTTGGCAGTGGCTGGCACCACATGGACTGTACCAGCTAGATTACACCGCATATCTATATATATATAAATATATATACATTTATGTATTGTAGGAAATCGCTGTTTGGAGTCCACGCTGGCCAACATTCCCGAACTGTTGGTATATACTCCCACTCTGCCACCTGGCGGACCGATGGCCAGTCAGTGTGGACCCCTCCCTCCCTTCCTGTGTAAAACAATACGAGGTCGACGCTTTCCGCTCAACATGGACATCATGTCGTCCCCGCTGCAAAAAATGCATGGCAAGAATGGGACGGGGACATACCGCGCGAAAGGCGGACATGCCGCGCTGATTTTTCCGACAAGTTGAAGTCCCGCTGGGTGAGAAAATGGTTTGGGAACGCAATAGAAGACTCGGGGTGAAAAAACACTCCAGAGGTAGGAGGAGTCGAGAAGTCTAGGGCCTAGACTCGCACACATCGAAACAAGGAGGAGAGAGAAGCGCCAGAGTCTGAGAAGACGTCCTGCGACGGGCTAGCCATGGCTCGCTCGCGATGGCGAACAGCTCGAGGAGAAGGTGTGCGAGCCAGGGGAGGAGGAGGAGGAGGAGGAGGAGGAGGAGGAAAAGGAGCGGGAGGATGAGAGGCAGGAGAAGGAGGAGGAGGAGGAGGAGGGAGAGTGCGGAGGAGGAGGAGGAGGAGGAGGAGGAGGAGGAGGAGGAGGAGGAGGAGGAGGAGGAGGAGGAGGGAGGAGGAGGAGGAGCGGGAGGAGGAGAGGAGGAGGAGGAGGAGCAGGAGGAGAAGGAGGAGGAGCAGGAGGAGGAGAGAGAGGAGCGCCAGATGTCTGGGTCTCAGCGGCCAGCGGTCCCTTCGAGCGGCAGGGGGGCTGGGGCGGCGCGGCAAGCGGGGCGCCTTGCAGTCGTGCGAGATCAGCACGTTCGCGGGCTGCGTCGCGCGCGCGCCAGGGTGGGGGCCCAGGCCGGGAGCCCGGAGAGCGATGGAGGACAAGGGAGCGAGGAGGGGGCAGCAGGGAGGGAGAAGTCGCAGAGGAGGGTGCAGTGGCAGCAGGCGGGGAGGGAGAGAGCCAAGTGGAGGTGGCGACGAGGCACGCGCCGCACAGGATGATTCACCAAAAATGGACCCCTAACCCTTTGGGAGGGGACCTAAGCAAGGAGGGCCGAGGACACTAGGAATAGGGGTCCCTTCCTGCAGATATGTCGAACCAAACCGCCCAGATTGATTGTCCCTAATACACAAACGGGGACATCAGTGAGGCCACGTCTCCACTGTGTCATTGGGGTTAGGGGTTCTCGTATCCTCGATGACAGGAGGCACGACTGGCGACGACCCCTTGGCAGCTCCGTCGAGCGGGGGGGGAGTTGCCTGGCGGCAGCTGCGAGGCCGCAGCCCGCCTGGCCCGAAGCGGGCCCGCGCCCTGCCTCGCGCCACGGCGCCTCGGCCGTGGCCCAGCGGCCGAGCAGGGGCTGCAGCGCCGGCGGGCGCAGCTTCGCGGCCCCTCTCCGCGCGGCCCCGCCCCTGGCGGGAGCCCCCCTCGCTCGCCCGCGCCTGCCCCGCGGGGGCGGAGCACGACACCCATTGCCCTGGACCCCGGCCCCTCGCGCGCGGGCCCGCGCCTGCCGCCTGCCCCGCGGGCGAAGGTTCGCGGCCGCTCTCCGCGCGGCCCCGCCCCCTGGCGGGAGCCCCCCTCGCCGCTCGCCCGCGCCGGCCCCCGCGGGGGGCGGAGCACGGCGCCCCGCACACGCTCTCCTCTCGTCCTGAAGGAGGAGGAGGAGGAGGAGGAGGAGGAGGAGGAGGAAGGGGGAGGAGGAGGAGGAGGAGGAGGAGGAGGAGGAGGAGGAGGAGGAGGAGCGCGGTGGCGGAGCAGGTGTGAAGGGGCCCCAGGACACACAAAGAAATACACACAAATGAAAAGGTTCCCCATATTTTCCTAGATTTTCTTGGGTGTTGTCTTCCCCCCTTCTTTTCCCATATTTTCCCATATCTTCTGGGGAATCGGCGACTAATTGTGTCTGTGTGTTTCTTTCCCTCCTGAGTGGGGGGGAAGCGGATCCTGAGGGACACGGGTCCTGGGCGGCAGGACCTTCCCCCAGGACGAGATCTTCACCCCGAGTCGTTTTCTGACAGTCCCGGGGCCCGTGGAGGGCCCCGGGAGCCCGAGAACGGGGAGAAACCTCGGGACCCGTTTCGCTCAGGACCCGCTTCCCCAGTGGCGATTCCTGCTGGAGGCCCTCGCCGAGGCCCTGGCGCTCGGCACAGCGCTCGACGACTGGCGGGGCCCTGGTGGCCGCAGTCCCAGACCCCCGACGTCACGACTTGTGGTCAGAACGTCGACCCCCAGAGGTCTGGAGCCCTTCCCGGGGACCGGCTTGCCATCCTGAGTCGTCCTCTGATGGCCCGGGAGCCTGGCGACGGCCCCCAGAAGCCGGAAATAGCGCGAAATACCTCCCGTCGCGATTGGTTTGCAGCGCTGACGGGGTCTGGGGTCGGCCAGGCCGCCAGGGCCGACGGGAGCGAGAGGCCCCGGGGCCCTGTGGTGGCCCGAGGGCCAGCGGCCGCCTGCCGCGCTGGCCGCGCGCCGCGCTGGCTGGAGGCGTTCTGCACGCCACCGTTGTGGGCCAACGGCCAGGCGAGGGAGGGACTTCGGCGCCCAGCACGCCTCGAGCCGCGCTCTTTGACGTCGCAGCGCCGTTTAACGAGAGGCCTCCTAGGCGGGGTCCGAGAAGACGGGGTCGGAGGATCGCGCCGCATCGCCGCTAATAACCGGCGATGCACCGCCGTCGGCGATGCATCGGCCACGCACTGGTGACGTCAGCGATGCATCGGCGACGTCGGCGTGGATAAAAGTGGGCCCCACATTGAGCCGCATCGCCGATGCATCGGCCATGCGGCGCGATCCTCCGACCCCATCTACTCGGACCCCATTTGGGAGGCCTAGAATTACGTCGCAGCGCGGCAGAAGGCGATCCGCACGCGCTCTCTAGCTGGCCGGGAGCGGGCGAACTCATTGTCTGACTGCAAGAGGGGAGAAGGCAGGTGAGAGAGGGAGGGCGCTCACTGCACGAAGACCTTTGTCAGGAGTGGCCGGTTCGGCTAGCGTGTGCCGAGGCAGCCTGGCAGTGGACGCGGAGCGGCACATCGAGCCGCACACTCGGGTGCCAGATCAACGGGACATACCAGGGAAGGCTCTGAAAGGAGGCGGCCGATCGCCAGCCCGACTCGGGGCTGTCCGACCACGGCGCGGCCACGGAGCGGCCCTCGCGCTGGACGCTGCGCGGCAGCTCCAGGCACACACCCGAGCACGGCCGCGAACGCCCTGGCCAACGACCTCTTGTCCTGTCGCCCAACGGGCGCTCGCACGGCCACCGCTGACCAGCAACCCTTGATGCCCCTTTGGGTGTGACCCGCACGGCACGGGGGGGCCTGCCAGACCTTGCTAGACTTAAGTCGGGCATGTCCCCCTACAGGCAGATTTTGCACGAAAAAGTGAAAATATTCAAAAAGTAGCAAAAAAAATAAAACAAAATCGTCCCCAGACTGTTCTTGCCTATTTTGCAACATCCCTCCTGTAGAGGGACACGCCCGACTTGATGCTAGACCCCCGCTGGACCTGCAGCAGGCGGCCGCCGCCGAGTGCACCGACGGCTGTCCAGGGCCGTCCTCGCCAGCCCGGCTCCCCGGACGGGAAGAGGCATGGCTGCCGTTGCCCGGGAGACCTCCTGGCCGGCCCGCGGCGCCGGCTCTCCGCCCGCCGGCCGCGGGGCGCCTGAGCTCTCTCGCAGAGAGCCTCAGAGGGCCCTCTCGGGCCGACGAGACGCTCCTCGACGGCTCGGGACGCCGCGGGGCAGTGGTCGAGGTCACGACAGCAGGGCTGGGCCTGAACGCTGGCTTTCGTTATGTGTTCGCTCTGTGTTTCGTGCTGCCCTCTGCCTACTTACCTTCCGGCAGCTCCCTGCCAAAGCGGAAAACCGAACACAGCCGAAGTCCAGCAGAACAGCGCTTGGGTCCAGCCCTGCACGGCAGCAGGCCAGGCGGCGGCCAAAATCACGACGAGGCCCTGCGAGCCTGGCGTTCCCCGTCGGTCGCGCGCGGCTCCGTGGCCTCGACGCCGGGGGCCGACGAGGTGGCCGCCGCAGCCGAGGCGGCGGGGCTGCTCTGCGCTCCGCTCGCCGGGCGCGGGCGGGCGGCTGCGCGGAGGTCGGCTCGACGAGCGGCAGCGAGGCCGCGGGTGCGCCGGCAGCAGGGCGCCAAGGCGGCCCAGGGGGGCCCCAGAACGGCCCAAGAGGGCCCCAGGACGGCAAAGGAGGGCCCTGGGAGGGGCGCACAGGAGCCCAGGAGAGCAGGCTCGGACGGGCATCTCGAGCCCTCCGGCCCCAGGAGCGCCCCCGAGAGAGCGCCAGCAGGCCCCCGAGAGGCCCCAACAGGCGTACACACCGATCCTGGCCATGATCCGGAGGTGGCGCGCAGAGGAGGGGAGGAGGAAAGCGATGCCAAACAGGGCTGGGAGAAACGCAGGCCCGGCAAGCAGGCAAACAGGCACCCGCCCCGCCGACGTCCACCTCGCGCCCCCGCTGCAAGCTGCCGCGGCCACTCGTCGTGGTCACAATTGCCGTATGCTGTTCTCGTGCTTCGGCTGCCGCCCCCTCTCCTTTTGGTGGTTTCGTCCTCCTCCCCCCCCTCCTCTTGTTTTTGTTGTGATCCTCCTCCCCCTCCTCCCCCTACTCCCCCTCCTCCCCCTTCTCCTTCGCTTCTTCCTCCTCCTCCTCCTCCTCCTCCTCCTCCTCCTCCTCCTCCTCCTCCTCCTCCTCATCCTCATCCTCATCCTCATCCTCATCCTCATCCTCATCCTCATCCTCATCCTCATCCTCATCCTCATCCATCCTTATTCGTTGTACACAAATCGTCCCCGTCTGGCCACCAGACGGGTCGGTAGGGCGGGCTGGGCGTTTCAACCAGGACTTCCTCCTCGCCCATGGCCCCCGAGTTCGAGAAATCCAGCAATTGCACCGATGGAGGGGGTGTGGTTCTCAAAACGTGGTGTCGCCGTGGCGCCCGACGGAGCGCAAGTCGCTGTCTTCAGCTGCGGTTTTTGCGCTGGCGCCGCGCACATGCGCCCTGACAATTGCAGACGTTACATGGATGGAGGGCAAGTCATTCCCGACATGGGGGTCGCGCCTTTTGGCGGCGAGCAGGGGGGGAAGTGAGGAGAAGAAAGCCTTCTCAGAAGGCTCGGAAGTCCCCCGGCCTTCTGAGAAGTGTTCTGAGCCTTCCCCGAAGACACAGAAAACTTCTCAGGAGGCGCGAGGGTTTCTGAGAAGTCCCGCCGCCTTCTGAGAGGGCCTTCTCAATCTCACTTCCCCCCCTCGCTCGCCGCCGAGTTACACGGATGGAGGGCACTTCATTCCCGACATGGGAGTCGCGCCTTGGCGCCACGCACATCCGTCTGAAAAGCTTCAAGACTTTGCACGGGTGGAAGGGGGGCGTGCGTGTTCAAAACGTGGCTCTCGCCAGAGCGACACCGCGCACATTCGTCTTAAAAGCTTCCAGCAGTCACTTACATGTATGGAGGGCAGTTCCTTCTTCCCTAATGCGGCGCTCGCAAAGAGCGGTTCTTACTCGTGCCGCTGAGGAACTGGACGGGTCCGCCGAGGTTGCGCCGCCTGTGGCAACCCAGGGACGGCTCATTGCTGCCCACTTGGGGGGGTCCGCCGAAGGCTCGCCGCGTCGCCACCCGTGGCCGCCTCGTGCCCGCCTCGTTGCCGCCCGCCTGGGGGACCCGCCGAGGTTTCGCCGCGCCGCCACCCGCGACATCCTCGTGGCCGCCTCGTGGCCACCTGCTCGGGTTGTCCGCCGAGGTTTTGCCGCCCGTGAGCGCCTCGAGGGCGCCACGTGCG